GTTGGAATTGTGTTAATTTAAGTCTATATTTATACCATTATAACCATAATGGTAATAAGAATTATAATGGTTATTACCGTCGGTGTACCTTTAAGTGATCTAGAAATGTATGAATGTCGTCTGATAACATTCAATGATGGATGGAAACTAAACTATTGAACACCTACTCAAATGGCTAAAACGGGTTTCTATTATTCGGGCAAACGAGATTGTGTCAGATGTATGTTTTACTCAAACGAATTTGATTGTTGGCAGCGAGGTAAAGATTCGATGATGGAACGCAAGCGTAAAAGTCCTCAATGTCTCTTCTTTAGAGACAGTTCAGGTAATTCAAAGCGTACGCGTGTGTTTACTCTTATATGTTTTATGAATATTTTCTCTTCAGCGTATGATGTTTGCGGCTTGTACGGTTCTCCACTCTCTGCAATTAGCTCTAGTATGGAAGCCGAAAATAATGAATATTTACTAGAAATGCTTCATCAAATTAAAACTCCTAATCATATATTGTTTAGTACATATACCGCTCGTATGACAACATTTGATAAGTGTCAAAGAAAAATGATGCAAAAAGTACAATACCTTTGCGAAGCCGGATTTTTTTATATAGGTAATAGTATAGTTTATTATTATAATATTAGACTACAACAAGATGTTAGTTACATACTAAGCGTTTATATATAATTTAATCTGTTGATGAATACTAATAATTACACTGATTCATACTATATTGATTAATTCATAGTAAATATAATTTTAGGTAACGGTCAAAATGATCGAATGTGTTGTTTTTGCTGTAGTCAAGTACTAAGAGATTGGGATGATGATGACGAGCCGTGGACAGAACATGCACGATGGTCTCCTAAATGCGCTTGGGTTTTGTTCAATAAAGGTAAAATATTTATTGACAAAGCGTGTGGAAAAAAGGATGAAAATAATTAATCTTAAAAATTTTTTATTTATATGTGTAAATAATTATTTATTTTTGTGATATACAATAAATGTATTATTTTTACAAACAATTTTTTTT